CCAACATCCATCTAAGTATTTTAGAGGCTTCATAGACAGTCAGTCAGTTAGTTTTGAGTCTCTTATCTATGTATATATGTAAATATTCTATTTTGAGACTCGAGTTGCCTTTTTGGCCAAATGTGTATCATTTAAGTTGTTTATATCTTTGCATGGCATTGAGTTATTCTGTTGAGTAGGTTTCCGCTGAGTTAAGAAAGCCAGGCCAAGGGTTTGCTTGGGGCCAGCAATGGTCTCCAAGTGCCGGTCCCGCCCAGGGTGTAGGCTCAGGGCGTGACACATTTCTTGCTAAACGAATGAAACAATAGAAAACAAGTTATATACATATAAAATGGTTCTTCAACATAAATACATGGTTTGAGCCAAAGCTACACGTACCTTTGGTGGCTCCTCCCCTGCTTCTAGTCCAAGTGCAATTGTATTTCAGAGTCCCCTGTTTGGTCATGGACTCGAGCAATCGCAGCAACAATCTGATACACTTGTTGCATCGTTGGTCTTTGATCCGGGATGAATTTCATGCAGTTACTTGCAAGTTCAAGTAGTTGCATTACCATATTATCAAATCCTTGGCCTAACAGTAGTTTATCCACATCAAGAGGACTGGCAAAAGAGCTGCTCGACAAATTTAGACTCGAGCAGCTCAATTCGTAAGATTCCTTCCCCGTTAAAATCTCGAGAAGCACAACCCCAAATTTATAGACATCTTTTTTGTATGTTGTAAAGTCTAAAAACTCGACCATTGGCGATAGACTCAAGTTTGAACCTATGTCATTTGGTTCTACAAATGTTGCCTCCCAAAAATTGGATAACTTGGGATCGAAATTTCCACCATCATGAAGCCAAGCCAGGGCTTTCGCGACACCAACAACAATTTTAACCCTTAGAGGGAAGTCCAAGAGTCTTGCCTTGTCGTCAGTTGAATGCAGCCACTCATGTAAGTTTCCATTAGGCATGTATTTGTAAACCAGAAGTCGCTTGTCCCTCTCATAACAAAATCCGATTAGGGGCACTAAATTCGGATGCCTCAAAATACCTAGAGTTGTGATCTCCGAAACAAACTCTTCCTCCAAATCCTCGGAACTTTAGAGCCTCTTTATGGCAACAGTCCATCCATTTGGGACTAGTGCTTTGTACAATTTCCCCAGCATTCCGTTCCCGATTTCATTGTCTTGGCTGAAATTCAAAGTCGCTTTTGATAGTTCCATAAAACTCATTCTTGTAACAATCTTCTCCAGCTTTAAAATCTGAGGAAAAAAACATATTTACCATTACCACATTTTATTTCTCCTCTACAACAACAGTTTTTTTATTAAGTAGTTCCCCTTTCGTCGCAATTTATCTAACATAGTTTGACAGGGCCCAAATTTTCAAAAAAAAAAAGGTAGTTTTTTTAAACTTGTAGTTTAAACGTGCCATAACACTGTCTGGCTATAAAAGCTGGTCACTAAGTGAAATTGTTTCCAAATTGGCATAATATAATCATTCCCTTTAACTTGGCCTCATCTAAAATCTATGCCCTCCGACTTTGAATGTGCACAAATAGATACTTAAACTTGTATATAATTGAGCAGGTAGACATAATTACCTTTGGGTCATTGTTTACTTCATTTCCATCAATCACCATTACCTTTGTTCTCTTGTTGATCAATAGAAGCATCTTCTTTACACCAAAGAAAAAAAGATATACACCAAGTAATGTAGAAAGCGACCAACCCGTCACAAAACCACAAGCAAACAGAATATGACGGCTTACTACGCGTTCTGTAACACATAATTCCAGAGGACTACCACAAAGTCCTGGATTATTTGCATAACTTTCATCTGGAAAAGTAGCATTGACAAAATTTGGCACTGGCCCTGTCAACATATTATTTGCAACATTAAACGTCTTGAGTCGCTGTAACAAGCGAATTTCAGGTGGGATCAGTCCTTCTAGTTTATTGTTTTCTAATTTGAGGGAATTGAGAAAAGAGAAATTTGAAATGTCACTTGGGATCGCGCCTGAGAATAGGTTGCTCGAGAGATCAACGATTACAGCATATACGATTAGTTTTGATATATCGGAAGGGATGGTTCCATATAGCTCGTTGTTTGAAAGATTCAGAGAAGTTAAAGAAGTGCAATTTTGTATGCCTCGCGGAAACTCACCTATTAGTCCCATGTCTGGAAGACTAATGGATATTACTCTGGTCTCATCGGCATTCCAGCATTCTATTCCTGTAAATTTGCATATAAAACCTTCTGTCTGATTGTCGAACTTCCATGTAGAATTCAAGATGTTTAAAGGGTCTACCAACGAATCTTATATCGATTTCAAGCAATCGATATCACTCTGCACCGGGTTGCATCTTAGAGAAAAGCTGCAAAATAGTAGGAAAAATGGTAGTACTAAGTAAAGAATGTTGCAGTTGCACATTGTTGAAATGAATTTTTTTGTTTATTTGCTTTGGCAATTGTGGTGTAAAATACTAATTGATTTTTTGCAAAAATGGACACCAGTTGACTTGGGTCAATAAGACGGTAGAATAATTCCACCACATTTTTTTTGAACATCTTGGACTCCGCAACTTGGGCCAAGTCAATAGGATATGTTGTACTTGTCTATATTATCTCTCTGGGTGCGGTCCTTTTCTGGATCCATGACGCCTTACTCTGTTGGATTTACAGTATCTAGTGAAGATGATGCGATTCAAACAAAGACAAAGTTCTCGTTGTGTACACAAGATTCATCTCTTGGGCCTAAATTGTTTGGGCCTAAGTCAGTAGGCTTATGCACTAAGAATGGTCCTAGTAATGGCACATCTAGCCCAAGCAGAAATACAGCAGATACACAAGAGATTTCAGATTTAGTTACATAGCATTGTATAGGAATATTTACAGCTGTATAGTTTGTTATTTATTGTCAGGGTAGTATCAAAGGATTAGGTGACAGCTGTAGGTACTAGTCTGTCCTTTTTTTCTTTACACGACTTGTATAAATACATATATGCATCAATAAGAATATTCATTGGAAAATTCCCAAATCAACTCTCATTTCTTCAGTCTTTCTACATACTCTAAGGGTAGGTCCGCCTCTACTTTTCAAACTTTTCTATTCATTTGAAGATTCAAAAGTTATTAATTATCGTATTATTAATAGAAAATCGTTGAAGAAAATTCATAAACTTCAAAAAAAAAAAAAAAATCCTACCCTTGGCTAATTTTTCCACCCACCCCATAGATACTTTATTCTCAAAGAAAATCCCTACTAAGAGAAGACAATCATAAGAATAAGATTAGCTATTACTATATAATTAACTTGTTTAGCATTTTAATTCAAAGAAAAGAAGAATAATGAAACATATTTAATATTTTGTACTCAAATTAATTAATCACCTGCATCTAAGTCAAAGGAAAAAGTATTTTTTGTGAAAAATATTCAACTTTTAGTAGTGTACGTTGACTATTAGTTTCAGTTACCTTTGAATTTGAATGATAATTAAGATATTGTCTCTAGATCTAACTATTAAATGATTAAGACTCTTTGTTTTTCATCATCTAAATGTGAATAATATATAATTCAAATAAAAATAATATTGGCTGTCACTTTTTTCCAGTCATCAACAACTATTTTGATTAGTCTCCAAAAGTATTTACTACTTTTTTGTGAAGTCATCAACAACTATTTTGACTAGACGATATACCATAAATTCAATGTGGTCCAATTTTGTTAGAATTATGCAAATGAGTTGTACGCCCCGTAGATCCATTGGACTTAAGTGAGTATCTACAAAATTTCTTATATCTAGTGTGTTATTTCTGTATTTTCATCAATCATAAATAAAGCTAAACTCTGTGTGTAGTAGTATATAAAATGGCAATTGCCCTGTCCAACATGTTGTTAGCAACACTAAATATGTCGAGTCGATCTAACGAGTACATTTCAGGTGAGATTGGACCTTCTAGTTTATTGTTATCTAATTATCAATTTGCAATGTCATTTGGAATCGCGCCTGAGAATTCATTTGCTCGAGATATCCAAAAAATTATAGCAAATCCAATTAGTTTTGATATATCGGAAGGGATAGATGTTCCATATAGCTCGTTGTTTGGAAGATCTAGAGAAGTTAAGGAAGAGCAACCTTGAACGCCTCGTGGAACTCAACTATTAATCCCATACCAGGAAATCTAAGTGTAGGTTTGGAACATTGGAAAGACTTTTCATATTTCTTAAACTTCGTGTTCAGTCAAACTACATCACATAAATTGTGAGTACTGCACATTGTAAAAGTGAAAGTTTTTTGTTCCTAATGTTCTTATGCAAATTGTTTCCTAGAAATTTAAGAAGATTACAACAAAAATGAATTTCTTCACCAAGCAAGTGTCGTTGGTATTATTCAAACAAGACACACAGTTGTATATTCGTCCATAGATTAAATTCGATATGTCTATCCGAAAGGTGAAAAGTATCTGAAAAGAACTCGCCTTGCTTCATTTTCCCCTTCTTTAGCAATGATATTTTTGTTATCGCAAGTCAAGATTCACATAAAAGGATGGGACATAAAACGAAGCATTTGTGATAATGATGATCATTCTGAAGCATAGTTATTGCAATATTGAAAACAACAATTCAGGAAGACATACATTCTTGCTAAACAAAGAAACCATAGGAAACACGGTTCCAAAAGCTGGTGATTCTAGTATGAGGCGGAGCCAGAATTTGTAGCACATGAGTCTAGATGGATTATTTATACATATGAAATGGTTCTTCATCACAAATACATGGTTTGAGCCAAAGCTACACGTCCCTTTGGTGGCTCCGCCCCTGCTTCTAGTCCACGTGCAATTGTATTTCAGAGTCCTCTGTTTGGTCATGGACTCGAGCAATCGCAGCAACAGTCTGATACACTTGTTGCATCGTTGGCCTTTGATCAGGAATGAATTTCATGCAGTTACTTGCAAGTTCAAGTAGTTGCATTACCATATTATCAAATCCTTGGCCTAACAGTAGTTTATCCACATCAAGAGGACTGGCAAAAGAGCTGCTCGACAAATTTAGACTCGAGCAACTCAATATGTAAGATTTCATCGAGCAAGATACATTGTGTGCTAATGTTACTATGCACGACATGGAAATTTCCACTATCATGAAGCCAAGCCAGGGCTTTCGCGACACTAACAACAATTTTTACCCTTAGAGGGAAGTCCAAGAATTGTGCCTTGTCGTCAGTTGAATGCAGCCACTCATGTAAGTTTCCATTAGGCATGTATTTGTAAACCAGAAGTCGCTCGTCCCTCTCATAACAAAATCCGACTAGGGGCACTAAATTCGGATGCCTCAAGATACCTAGAGTTGTGATCTCCGAAACAAACTCTTCCTCCAAATCTTCGGAACTTTGGAGCCTCTTTATGGCAACAGTCCATCCATTTGGGACCAGTGCTTTGTACAATTTCCCCAGCATTCCGTTCCCGATTTCATTGTCTTGGCTGAAATTCAAAGTCGCTTTTGATAGTTCCATAAAACTCATTCTTGTAACAATCTTCTCCAGCTTTAAAATCTGAGGAAAATAACATATCTACCATTACCACATTTTATTTCTCCTCTACAATAAAAATTTTTGATTAAGTAGTTCCCCTTTCGTCGCAATTTATCTAACATAGTTTGACAGGGCACAAATTTTCAGAAAAAAAAAGTAGTTTTTTAAACTTGTAGTTTAAACGTGCCATAACACTTGTCTGGCTATAAAAGCTTGTCACTAAGTGAAATTGTTTCCAAATTAGCATAGTATATAATCATGCCCTTTAACTTGACTTGGCCTCATCTGAAATCTATGCCCTCCGACTTTAAATGTGCACAAATAGATACTTAAACTTGTATATAATTGAACAGATAGACATAATTACCTTTGGGTCACTGTTTACTTCATTTCCATCAATCACCATTACCTTTGTTCTCTTGTTGATCAAGAGAAACATCTTCTTTACACCAAAAAAAAAATATACACCAAGTAATGTAGAAAGCGACCAACCCGTCACAAAACCACAAGCAAACAGAATATGACGGCTTACTACGCGTTCTGTAACACATAATTCCAGAGGACTACCACAAAGTCCTGGATTATTTGCATAACTTTCAGCTGGAAAAGCAGCATTGACAAAATTTGGCACTGGCCCTGTCAACATATTATCTGCAACATTAAACATCCTGAGTCGCTGTAACCAGCAAATTTCAGGTGGGATCAGTCCTTCTAGTTTATTGTTTTCTAATTTGAGGGAATTGAGAAAAGAGAAATTTGAAATGTCACTTGGGATAGCGCCTGAGAATAGGTTGCTCGAGAGATCAATGTCTACAGCAAATGCGATTAGTTTTGATATATCGGAAGGGATGGTTCCATATAGCTCGTTGTTTGAAAGATTCAGAGAAGTTAAAGAAGTGCAATTTTGTATGCCTCGCGGAAACTCACCTATTAGTCCCATGTCTGGAAGACTAATGGATACAACTATGTTCTCATCGGCATTCCAGCATTGTATTCCTGTAAATTTGCATATAAAACCTTCTGTCTGATTATCGAACTTCCATGTAGAATTCAAGATGTTTAAAGGGTCTATCAACGAATCTTTAATCGATTTCAAGCAATCGATATCACTCTGCACCGCGTTGCATCTTAGAGAAAAGCTGCAAAATAGTAGGAAAAATGGTAGTACTAAGTAAAGAATGTTGCAGTTACACATTGTTGAAATGAAATTTTTTGTTTATTTGCTTTGGCAATTGTGGTGTAATATACTAATTGATTTTTTGCAAAAATGGACACCAATTGACTTGGGTCAATAAGACGGTAGAATAATTCCACCACATTTTTTTTGAACATCTTTCACTCCGCAAGTTGGGCCAAGTCAATAGGATATGTTGTACTTGTCTATATTATCTCTTGGGTGCGGTCCTTTTCTGGATCCATGACGCCTTATTCTAAGGGTAGGTCCGTCTCTACTTTTCAAACTTTTCTATTCATTTGAAGATTCAAAGTTATAATTATCGTATATTAATAGAAAATCGTTGAAGAAAATTCATAAACTTCAAAAAAAAAAAAAAAAATCCTCCCTTGGCTAATTTTTCCACCCACCCCATAGATACTTTATTCTCAAAAGAAAATCCCTACTAAGAGAAGACAATCATAAGAATAAGATTAGCTATTACTATATGATTAACTTTGTTTAGCATTTTAATTCAAGAAAAGAGAATAATGAAACATATTTAATATTTTGTACTCAATTAATTAATCACCTGCATCTAAGTCAAAGGACAAAGTATTTTTTGTGAAAAATATTCAACTTTTAGTAGTGTACGTTGACTATTAGTTTCAGTTACCTTTGAATTTGAATGATAATTAAGATATTGTCTCTAGATCTAAATATTAAATGATTAAGACACTTTGTTTTTCATAATCTAAATGTAAATAATATATAATTCAAATAAAAATAATATTGGCCGTCACTTTTTTCCAGTCATCAACAACTATTTTGATTAAGTCTCCAAAAGTATTTACTACTTTTTGTGAAGTCATCAACAACTATTTTGACTAGACGATATACCATAAATTCAATGTGGTCCAATTTTGTTAGAATTATGCAAATGAGTTGTACGCCCCGTAGATCCATTGGACTTAAGTGAGTATCTACAAAATTTCTTATATCTAGTGTGTTATTTCTGTATTTTTCATCAATCATAAATAAAGCTAAACTCTGTGTGTAGTAGTATATAAAATGGCAGTTGCCCTGTCCAACATGTTGTTAGCAACACTAAATATGTCGAGTCAATCTAACAAGTATATTTCAGGTGGGATTGGACCTTCTAGTTTATTGTTATTTAATTTGAGGACATTAAGAAAAGATCAATTTGCAATGTCATTTGGGATCGCGCCTGAGAATTCATTTGCTAGAGATATCCAAAAAATTATAACAAATCCAATTAGTTTTGATATAGCGGAAGGGATAGACGTTCCATATAGCTCGTTGTTTGGAAGATCTAGAGAAGTTAAGGAAGAGCAGCCTTGAACGCCTCGTGGAACTCACTATTAATCCCATACCAGGAAATCTAAGTGTAGTTTTGGAACATTGGAAAGTCTTTCCATATTTCTTAAACTTCGTGTTCAGTCAAATTACATCACATAAATTGGGACAGATGGGAGTACTAAGTAAAGAAAGTTGAAGCTGCACATTGTAAAAGTGAAAGTTTTTTGTTCTTTATGTTCTTATGCAAATTGTTTCCTAGAAATTTAAGAAGATTACAACAAAAATGAATTTCTTCACCAAGCAAGTGTCGTTGGTATTATTCAAACAAGACGTGTAGTTGTATATTCGTCTGTAGATTAAATTCGATATGTCTATCTGAAAGGTGAAAAGTATCTGACAAGAGCTCGCCTTGCTTCATTTTCCCCTTCTTTAGCAATGATATTTTTGTTATCGCAAGTCAAGATTCACATAAAAGGATGGGACATAAAACGAAGCATTTGTGATAATGATGATGACAAATGCTT